AAAGGAAAAGGAAAAGGAAAAGGAAAAGGAAAAGGAAAAGGAAAAGGAAAAGGAAAAGGAAAAGGAAAAGGAAAAGGAAAAGGAAAAGGAAAAGGAAAAAGAAACATATTTCTGTGTTTGCCATTTGTTTTTATTCTGACAGTACCATGTGCCCAAGTCCCCAGATCCCGTTCATGAGTGATGGAAAATAAAATGCTTGATGAATTCTGACACAGAGGGACCATCTGGGCGAGGTCTAAACTCAGAGTTGCAAAAGCCACATGAGGAAGTGAAATTCAAATATGATGCACCCCTGCCACTGCCACATGCAGAGAATGACTTGAAAAGGCAGTGACAGCTCCAGCAAAGCTGTTTGTACAGCAGAACACTGGGATAGTCATCTGGGGAAAATTAGGGTGGAAAGGATTGAGTTTCAAGGTGCACTACAGATCAACTGTATGATTTCTGAACATGTAATTTGTTGCTATGATTCATATGGATACTGCACTAGTCCTGAGACACTCTGTGCACACAGATTCATAAAGAAAAATTGCTCTTTGCTGTTCCACAGTTAAGGATGCTGAAAGGCAAGATGGATATAAACATATCAAAATGAGACAGAAGACTGTGAAAGGTAAAATCCTCAGCCCCAGTCACTGACTAAATCACTTCAAATAAAACCAGATTCTTCTGAGCCAATCCAAAGGTTCCTCTTTATTTCAAAGTAGCTTTGGTTCCACTCTTGCAGAATCCAATATCCTCATCTTTCCCTCGCTGTCGCTGCTGATAGAGACTCTGTTACTTTGACACAAAGTTGGCATCAGCATTTTTCTCTGGGAAGACTTAACAAAACCTCTCATCCTTTGCTCTCCATTTCCTGTCTATAAAGTAGAGCTCACACAGCTTGCCCTTCTGAGTTCCTTTCTCATATCCATTTTTGTTCAATACTTTAGGGCAAAGATTTCCTCATTTTATGTCTTCTGCAGCATTAAAATATAAACTAGCAGCTACTCATGGTAAAAAAATGTGACTTAAAGGAAGAAAACAGCCTCTCTTCTGGAAAGTGGCACAGTAAAGGTTTTGTTATTTTGCAGTGTTTCAATAAAAAGTCTGGAGTAATAAATATACATTTTTGAGGTTTTGAAGTACCAGACACTACCATTACATTTACCAGACCAGGCTGGGAACACAAAGTACTTTTGCAATCCAAGTCCCAACCTTCTATTCTTCACTCCTTTCAAAAGGGTTTTGTGTCTGCCATTCTCATGAATGAACAAGTTTGTGACCTTGTTTCTTAGATGTCACTTCCCACAGAAGTGGTTAAAACAGTTCAGAGAGTAAATTTTGTTGGCTTGTTTTGTTTTGTTTTGTTTTGTTTTGTTTTGTTTTGTTTGTTTTTAGGATTTCTATTCCTTTTAGAATGCAAATGCCTGGACATCATTTCAGTGAAGGCACTTGACAACAGCTGAATGGGTGTCAGCTCATACATGAATTGTAACATAATGAAAACTTGGCCACCCCAAGATGATTTGGGGGAATTCTATACTTTAGGGCTTTAAAAAATATTAACTCTAAAAAAGTTACAGTTTCCAAACAGCCCCATTTCCTGTGTTTTTCTTGAATACAGAATGAGGAAAAAAACCAAAACCCTGGAAAAATGAGCCAAAGCTTTGTTTGCCATAAGATCAGCCACATCATAAAATAAGCTCATAAAAAGGAGTGACATGCACCATAAATCTCAACTGCTTTATAAAAATAAAGCTAAGCTGTCACAAGGGTGACATCACTGAGCACACAGGAAATGCAAAGATCTTTGCAGAAATGCTGATTTCAGTAAGTATTAGGATTCTATTTAGATTAAAATGTTGGAGAAACCTTTACCCTAGTTCAATGTCAGTGGCAGGGAAGGAAGGTGTAAATGAACAGGGAGTAGATAATTTTTTTTTTCCTTTTTAATAGCAGTTAAGACCAGAGAACCAGGTTAAAACCATCTCTGAGGATTCATATCCCATCTGAAATGGTAAAACATTTGGCCATGAAGAGTCCAGTACAATGAAAATACCAACCACATGAGCAATTTTTGGATTTTCTTTATCCATGAATCTACCTGGTTCAACTATAGACCACTGACTGCACCTCTTGACTCACTATTTTTAGTATCTAGTCCTAACATATCAGAATTATGGGTATGTTCCTTATTGACATCACCAAAAAGAGCTATTCCATCCCTGTTTGTTTCTTTATTCTCAACACTCAGGTGACTTGAGATGATGAATGTGTTTATTCCAGTTTGCTGAGACTCCCAAAACAAGTGGAAAAATCAAAGGTTGGATATCTGGACACAATGAATCCTGGAAAACACTGCTGCCAGCTCCTTCTTGAAACTCACCCACAGGCTGAACTGAACTCTGGGGCATTTTGCTCTCGAATTCCCAGCATTTGTTCATTATTCTGTTTACCACAGACAAAATATATATGGGTACCATGGAGATTTTTTTAGTGTGTAAGAAGTTATCTATCTGTCTTGCTGACTGCTTTGCTGTTCACCCTTGATGAACATCCTCTGATGTTTATCTTTTTGATTTGCCAGCTGTTTATTTACAGATATGGATTTGCTTCTCTCCCCTTCCGAGTAACCTTTGGAGCAAAGCTTTCAGTAAGGGATAGCCTGAGGTGGCTGAGCATACAGCCTTTTCTTCTCTGCTTGTTTAGTTGGGAGGCAGCAAAGATCGAGCAGACCAAAGGTCAGCTCAGTTTACACAGCCTAAATGCAGTATTATTTATCAACATCTCCTCTGAAGCCATCCAGGAAGCTTCTGAAGTCATTCCTACCTTAGGGATGGGGCTGCCAGAAGAATAGTGGTGCTGAGATTACAAGGAAAGAAGGAAGAACAAGCAGAGGAAGAAGGCAATGGTAGCAGAGGAATATAGAGTGCAAAGCTGTTCATCAAAGGTTTAATAATTGATTCACAAGACAAAGTACTTTTCTATCTGGAGGGCCAATGAGATAAGCAGATATGAAAAGAAATAAAACCAATAAAGGCAAATTATTGGGCCTTGAAATTTGTTGCATATTCTCTTGTAAATCACAGGTTCTTTTTCAAATATCTGAAAGAGTCAGGACAGCATGGAGCTAAATATTAAATTTTTTGGAAAATCTGCAAGCGCATTGGGAGAGGCTGGAAGGGAAATTCAGAGTAGTGACATGTTAGAGTGGATAAATAAAAAAATCTAACTCTGGCTTTTGGCAAGAATAGGAGATATTTGTAAAGCTAAAGAATGAGAAAGGGAGGAATTGGCCAAGGCCACAGATTAATTCACACATGCACACATTTGACCAACTCTTAGAAGAAAAATCCAGAGATTTTTAAACATAAATTCATTACAACCCCAAGCTATAAATTTCTGGAACTGAGGGAAGCACAGTTCTGTGCCTGCCTCACTCTTTCATTCTTTTCTGACCAGGCTTTCTTGCTGCTGGACACTTGGACTTGACCAGTTGGAGCTTCAGTCTCACCCACTTCTTACACTATGTTGTTTTTAATCAGGGGAATGAAAAGGGACTTCATAACACAGCTAAATGTGTCACTTACACCAAAATATTATAACCAAAACATGTAATTTTTAGTAGCCACTGAGCTGTGAAATACATTCTTACTGGAATGTGCATCACTGTACATGCCCAGGAGAGATTTGTTGGCACAGCTCCCTGTCCTGGAATCTAACACCAATACATGTAGAGTTTTGCATTTCATCCATTTCTAAAGAATATGTAGGTAAGCAAAAAAACCCAATATTACTGATTGTTCTGGACATCCCCCACTAATATTGACAGAAGATTCCTCATTATATGGCAGGAATGAAAAGTAAACCCTTTTGTTGCTGGGTACTGGAGCTGAACAAATTATTTCCAATGAATAATTTATCTGACTAAATGAGATGTTTTCTGCTTGTTGAAGACCAACAATCCCTCTAATATGTACATATTTTAGTGTTTGAACATCAGACAACTCCTCTGAGTGTGGGGTGCCCATGAGCTGGTGGGGAGCAGATCTCTGACAGAATCAGCTTTCACTGGATGAGTTCTGTATGAAGCCAACACAGCTTGACTGAAGGACAAAAGTCTTCCCACCACATCCACAGGGACTCCTTTGGACCAGCAGGTAGGATGGGGCTGGGGAGTGATTTTCGTGAACGCTGTTCTGGACGGCTGAGCCCTCACAGCACTTCCAGCTTGCACATGTATAATTCAAGCCCTGTGAGTAGCAGCTGTGACAGGCTGGGTAACTATTTGCAAAGAATCATATTTTATTGGGAAATGATGATCTATTTTGATCCATCTGTATCTTTTGATATGTTGCCAAATCAAGAATGGGGGCTGATCAAAAACATAAACTAAAGGTCTGGGCCAAGGCCCAGTATTGGCATATATCTGAGATATTTTAATTCACTACATAATAATGTCTAGAAGTGCCTGAAGAACCAAACTCTGAAATGGGACTTGTTCTTTGGCTTCCAGCAGCAAACCAAGGCTGGGGATGATGTGCAGGGCAGCAGTGCTGTCCCTGGGCTCAGCAGGGAGGTGACAGGGAGCACCAAGTGTCCCAGGGAGCCTGCGGGTCACAGAAGTGCCCCGGGGCTGTCTGACAGCCCTGGCAGCTCATGCACACATCGGCTGGGAATTTCTGACTGGGGCAGGGAAGCAGGAGGAGAGAGGGATGTGGTGGAGGACAGTGACTCAGGCTGCCACGCTTGGGGTGCAGGCAGCAGCACAGACATGAGTCACCCATCATGCCAGGCAGGAAGGGCCAGCTTTCCATCCAGAAGATTAATTTGAGGCTGGCTGGTTTCCAAGAGGAAATCAGATGGAGGGATGCAGGAGGCAGTGTTTCTGGGAGAGAGATATTTAAGCCCATGTGAGATGAGAGGGAAGATTACCCACAAAGAGCCAATATCAATGAGGAGAGAGTTATTTTGGAGAGGGAAGGGAAATGAGGAGGATGCACAGCCCAGTGAAACTGCTTAAGGTTTGGGAATATAAAATTCAGTCTGCTGTGTTTGTAATTTCTTCTTCCCCGATGAAACTATTGAAATTTTTCACATGATGGAGCTGAGGGACCTCTTTTACAAACATTCAAGAGACAAGAAACGTTGGAGGATGATTTTCTGGGATATTGACTTCACGTAGGGGTACAAAACATACAGCTACCTTGAGACCAAAGAAGAGAGACAGGCAAGAAAATGCAAAAACAAAGCTGAGAAGTAACCATGCTAAATCCTCTTATGCCTCTGTTAAAATGGTCTGTTTTTCTCTGTTAACTGGACCCTCCGTTTGTGAATGCTACACTGGGCTGATTTACTCTGAGGCTATTTCAGCAACCTTCTCCCTCTTGCAGGAGGCAGAAAATGTGAGGCTGAGGCTCAGCCTAACTGGAGTCCTCTCTGAAGACAACACTCCCACTGTCACCAAACTGCAGGAGGGAAAAGGTGGTGGAGTCTGATTCTGTGACCATGCCTACAGCCACAGAGGGGAGCAAACAGGAGGAAATCTGCCACAACCTTCAGAACATCATTAACGCTCCCTGCAGCCACTTTGCCTCATCTACAAAACAGCATTTATGAATTTTCTCTGCTTCCTAAAGATATTCTGAAGGTGTAGTTCAGCTGAAGACAGTGACTTGAAGAGGAGTGTGTTTTCACTCTGTCAAACATTATCATTTGCTATAAACTGTAGTTTTGGGAGTTTTAAAATCTTGCTCACAATGCATTGACTGAAGAACTGATTAAGTATGCAGTGAAGAGTGCAGTGACTTCTCTTCAGAGCATGTTTCCATTGGAACATCAGAACTATTATAGCTGTCTCAGTAATATACAGGCTTGACATATATGGGATCATTAAGGATTTACATCTTAGTAATGGATTGAGAGCACACTCTTTCTGGACTCTCTTGTCACTAGTATTACACTGAAAAAAATCCCCTGGTGATTTGTTTATATATGTTAATACTGATTTTAAAAGATACTCAAGCACTAGACAAAGTAATTTTATTGCTTGACACAAAGAGATTGCCTCAATTTCTTTAATGCTCCAACTGTAATGATTTGTTCCTAAGGACTGAAGATTACAAACACTGTCCCTACAGACTAATTAATATTTTCTTTAACCAGGTACTTTCAGGCTTTTATTTATTATCTGAAGCAGTTTGTGGTGGGAGTCACAGGCACTGCAAAGTGAATATTCCTGTCATCAATGACTCCCAGCCTCCAGCAGCTGTGAGTTAGTGAGAAGTCTGTGGTGTTCCCCCAGGCCCCTGCAGCTGAATCTAAGCAATAGCACAGAGATAAAAGTTTAAGGTATTCCAGAGTGTTAAAAACCACTTCTGGATCCCATCCCTGGTTGAAACACAGTCCAGCTGGTGGAAATTCAACAAGAATTGACTGATGACCTCTGCCCAACCAACCATGTGCTATCTATCTCTGACACACGCAAATCACTTTGCAAGACATTTCCATCTGTCTCCATCCACTGCTGCCCTTGCAGCTTTGTCTCTGCAGCAGTCACAGCATCCCAGCTCTGCAGACTGAGGGGGAGGATGTGCCAGGCATCCCCCTTTGCCAGGATGGTGCTGTTGCATCTCCTCTCCCTCAGTGTCCTGATCTCTGTCCCACAGCACAGGGCTGTCTGAGCCCTCTGACTGAGCACACCACACCACACAGAAGTTTTCTCTCATTTCCTGCTCCTTTCAGTGATTCCTTAGGGCAGGGACAAAGCCCCTTTCAAAGCAGCCCCTGTTTCTGCAGCCTCCTACGAGCAGGTTGTTGTAACACCTTGTTCATCGCACACTCACACAGGGCCTGAGACATTTTCCTACTCAAGGGAGAATCATTCCAGAGATGAATCTGTTGTGACACAGATTTTGTTCAATAAGAGCGATAAAAACATGGCAGGAAGTGGGAGAAAGAGAAAAAATAGCCTGACTTGTGGTCATTTTTCTTTTGTGGAACTTCTTAATTCTGCTGTAAGATACATTTTACATTGAGGGGTGATTTAGTTTCCACTTTAAACTTTGGGTCTCTAAACACATAGCTAACGCTGGGAGTCAGTGTTTCTTTCTTCTCTCTCACTCTCACCTCTCCTCACTCCTTCTCACAGTGTCTGTGGTTATAATATGGTTATAATGGGGGAAAAAATCATGGCATATGACATGAAACTACAGAACTTTTCCATGAAACATTTTCTATCTGATTTTTTTTTTTTTTTACACAGCAGCAATTTAAAAGCTAAATGGAACTGCAATGCATAGCTACAAAGCTATTTCTCTTTTTAAAGATGCTTATCATGCTCTACATTTGTCAGCACCCTGGCTGGGTACAGATCCTGGAGCAGCAGAGGAACCAAACCTGCTGGCAGGGATCCAGGTGGGAGTTCAAGCATTGGGAAATAAATGTTCCCAGCTCTCCTGGATCTCCAGAAACTGAGGTCAAGTTTAATGTTCACTGTCACAGGTATGTAGAGAGGAAGATTGATAACAAGAGAAGCTCAAAGTCAGGGCTGCTGTGTCCATTTGCATGGTTACCCCTGCAGGGGAGGCAGCTTTTCTGGATCTGAGTGACACCTCCACAAAGCACAGCCTTCGTGTATCCTCTGCTATTGTAGCTGCCCCAGACACAAAATAAAAGCAGGAACGCCATAAGGGGACCTTTCCAGCAGATATTCTAGGCTGTAGGATTAAAAAAATATTCACATCCCAGCCCTGATACTGCTAAAAGATTTCCACACAGCTGGGCTGCAGCTGCCTTGCCTCTTGTCTTTAAAATTAGGCATCAGCTTGTCTGCAAAATGCTACAGCTCCCAAGAGAATTGAAGAGGGGTCTGTTTGTCTCCAAAAAGGCACCAGGCTGACATAAGGCAACCAGCAATGCCAAACTTTCTCTGTCTCCTTTGTTGTTCATGCTCGGGGGGTCTCTCACACCAGCACAGAGCACTTGGCCACCCTATGGGGCCCTGCAGCTGTGGGCAGGGTGCCAGGCTGAATGCCACCACTCCCCAGATTTCCAGGGCAGTTTTCCAGACTGCCATAGGCACAGACAGAGCTCCCCAGCTGGAGCTCTGCTGAGCATGACCTGCTAAAACATGGTGCCAACCTGGTAGGAAGAGGTTTGTATGCTAAGAGTGGTGCTGCACTGAAATCTGCTGTGGGATGGGATGGGATGGGATGGGATGGGATGGGATGGGATGGGATGGGATGGGATGGGATGG